TTTATTGTTAGATAACATATGCAGAAAAAAAACCTTCAGAGTAATTTACCTGCCGACAGCTATATAAGAAGCACCGTGTGAGTCATATGCAGAATAACCAATAATCATAATATACTTATTCAGCAATCAAAATAGTTATTGGATTCCGCTCTAGGGGATTTAACAGGTTTCTGCTTGCAACAACAGCCTTGGCCTAACACCCCCCAACTTTATCTGTGTTCCCTTACAGCTCTGAGCACTATCTCACTTTGTGAGCTGTGCTCAATCTTGTTAGCTGCTAAATTGATTGCATGTCAGAGGTTACTGCAGGTCCAGCCCTGTGCCGAGGAACGCCAAGGGTCAAGCTACAGTGGGAGGGCAGTGCAGCAATGGCAGACACAGGAATACAGGGGGAGGCGAGGGGGGACTGCTATACACGAAAGACTGACAGAAATGTGGGACGTCAGGTAGAGAACAGAATTCAGACTTCCAGCAGTCACCCATTTATCACAATCTGTTCACTAAAACAGCTGTTCCCTGAAGACCAATTCCCCACAAACGCACCACAGTGGACAGCAGACTGTTTGTCCTCCAGAATGCTGACAGCTCTCACAGGAATGTCCTGTTAAAACGTGACACACAGAAATAAACAAGCAGACGCTAAAATTGTATGCAAAGGGAAATGATGTAGCTAGGAACAAGTGGCACATTGCACCACATGACTTCACCGCACAATTGCACATTTAATCTATTATAGCAACAATCCACAAAAATAGGCACATTGCTAAGGCTGGGTATTGTGGCCCAAAATGTTGATTTTCCATTTTGGAGGATAATGGATGATTTACTATGTCAATGTATTAGTTTACTCGCCACTCAAGACAAATCGTGACTCAAAAACAGCTTATTAAATAAAACTGAAGGCCTGCACAAAACAAACAAAGAAAACAGCACCACTAGCAACTGCTAATGTTTACATATTGCAATTATAAAGAAAAACACTAAGAGCAGCTGGGCAACAATAACAAAATAGCGAGAGGGAGTACAATGTTATTCCCACCAAGCTAATGCTTGTGTAATTTCTCTTTGCTGATGCCCGATCTTGTTACACAAAATGAAAGTAAGACCACTAATGTTAGCCATTTTTAAACTGTGGTTTTGGAATTGAAACAGAAGCTAACATGTGAATCGCATTGCTCCCATTTTACAACATGCCTTTGTCTAAAGCACTGAGCAGCTCTGCTGTGCAGCTGCTGTTAGCTTTCAAAAACTTTACATGTCTTTGCAAAACTGACCAATTTTTATATCTGTGGAGTAATCTGACTACATTTCTTCATCTTCATTTCATCACAACAGGAGCTCAGAATAAATATATTGCTGAGAAATCTGATTATTTTGCCCACCCACAGACACTCATCAAACTTCATGGCAACAACTAAAAAAAATCTTGCCTTCAACATTTCCCGTACTTCACTACTAGGACTGCATTTCTAGATGTTATACAGTCTGTCTCCTTCTACCAAGAGAAAATATAGCAATTTGAAGCAGCTTGTTGGCAGGCAGATCGTAAAGAGAAATAAAAAACTCCACAGCAGGTGTCACCTCAGGGAGATGAACAACTGCAACGGAAGGGGATTTCAAAAAGGGGGGCACGTCAATCGGCCAGAGTGACCTTGAGGGACAACATGCATGCTGGGAAAGTAACGGGGTCGTCCGTGCACGCAGGCTTGCTAAAACAGGGCGGGAGCGGTGGTCGCACAGGAGGGTGGTGTCGGCTTTCTTGCGCACATGGAAACAGCTGTGTAGATATGCACAAAATGCTGGGCGGGAGGGTGGGGTGGGTTGGGGGAGACGAGCAGCTGTCGGAAGGGTGCACTGAGAGATGGGAGGAATTGGGAGAGTTTAAAATATTCAACTGCAACTGGTTATATTTTTGCTCTCATTAGCAGCACTTAAATCTGACAAAGGAAGGCGTTTAAGCCGTTCAGTCACATTTAAGCCCACAAAACAGACTCAGAAAGCAAAGCCCATCCTCTGGGAATTTGTTTTAAACAATACACAAAAACGTCCAACACTAATGTAAAGCTTTATCAACAAATTAGCACAGTCATTAACTTTTTGTTGTTTGGCACAGTATACTGGCCTTCATGGGACACCTTCAATGTGCAAGAATTGGCTGAGATATTGAAGGCACGTAGCATACTCCGTGGGGAAAACAGCGTAACTTGTTAGGTCAAATACAAGTCAGACCTCAGTCTATCCAATCTGACTAGAAAGGAAAGAGAGATGCTATCTTTACTACTCAAATGTCAACTACCAACCGCCATTAAAAACTTTTTTTTTAAAATCACAACTCTACACTACTTTTCTGAACTTCGAGAGGAGCAGACATCCACCATCACATGAAACGTAACATAAACAAGCCTGATTCTACTAGATGTGGTGGGGCCTGCTCACAACATATACAAGGGGACGAGGGGACCGAGAGGAGGTCTGCTCCAAATACCACATCAGAGTTTTGGCCCCCTCCACATGGAGATGAAACCAAACAACAGAAGAAACCAGACAGTCAGTTAGACAGGCCTTCACTACCTTCATCTGATACACACATGCAACTTTTAGCAGCAGGGTAAAGTTTGGGCTGGTGCCGTGGAAACCCTCAAAAACATCAGATGTGCCGTTTTAGAGGAGCGAGACTGGGAAGTTACAAGTGATTTCTTAAACACCAGAGGACTGGATGTTTTTGCAAGTTCTTTAACAACGGGCGCTGCAACGAAGCATCAGACCAGAGCACCGAGTCGCTTGCAGAAAGCAAATGCAATTTTTATCCAACTCCTCCTTGACTTAAGAGTCCGTTTAATGAACACAACTGGGAACCTTTATCAGCTCAGCCTTTTTAGTATTCCTGAGATGCAAACAGATACATTTTAGTTGGCCCCATGTATAAAAAGTCAATACGACGGAAATGCATTATTTGCATGGAGTTCTTTCTTTTTGAGGAGGGCAAACTCAAAAGTTTACCAAAAGCAGCAGTGTTGACCTGTTAACAGTGTGGATGAGAGAAAAAAAAAAAATAGGAGAACACATCTGCTTCCTAACTCTCCCTCAAATGAAAACACCAACACACCCAGCAGTCCCACATGACTACAATAAAAGTGCAAGATATTTCATCAGTTTTGGGAAGTATTTATGGGGTGTGGAGACGATCAAATTAGAGGCCGAAATCATTAAAAACAAAAAATACGTGTGCATTGCAGAGCTGCAGATTTTCTAAGAACATCGTACATAAGAGACTTTAGCAAGCCTCAAACTAAATAAAAAAGATGAAGAGGAAGAAGTGCAATTTTCTACTAATAAAAAAGCACTATAAAAATGTCCTATAGGCAAATGAGAAGACTTCACTATTTACTGCACCAAAGCAGCACCCAGGCTTAAACTCAATGTGCATCCGTTTAGCGTTATGCAAGCTTTAGTTTCATAGTGGTAATAAGTAAACAGCTCCGCATTTGCCTCTAGTGTCTTGTTTATCGCCCATCAAGACGGCCAGAAAATCTTTGCAGACCGGTTTAGCAACTACATACTACAGAGCCTACTCATCCAGACATGTTACCGAAACTCATAGGCATGCGCTACTTTCAGGTCCTCTTTCCTCTTAAGAAATAGCTCGTTCATGCTGTAACTTACGCGGTAGTCTTATTTTTAAATTCATCGTGATGTCCGAGCCAAAGCTACACACAAAATGCATGGGGACAGTCTGCCAGGGGGCTGTGGCGCTCTCTAGTGTCCCCAGCTCAGTTACATAAACCACAGGTCCAACCTTCCGCTTAGACCAGCTTATGATAATGATACTATCAACATAAACGGCAAACAATCCTGGGTTATCAAAGTCACAGGGGGTGCCAAAATCAGTGACAGGGCGCAGGAAACAAATGCCGGCTGCTAAATCCAGCCTGGACGGCGCCGCTGACAAAAAAAGAGGGCGACGCAGTTTTGGTAGGGCAAGCTTGACTGGTTAAAAAAAAAAAGAGGGGAAAAGAGAAAACACGACGGCAGCTGCAGCAGGGGGAGGAAATACAGACAAGCCCCCTTCTAGGTTTTAAGGCAAATGTTGTAGTAGCCAAAAGAAGAGGGAGAAAGACAGCGGTGCCGCGTTTAATAAAAAAGTTAGACGGCTGAAATAATCTTCCGAGTACCCCCCTCCTCCTCCCTCCCAGCAGCAACTCAGTGGCCATTGTTTGGGCAACAAGCAGAGACATTCCGCCGTGCTGTTAGACTCGGCCGCTGGGCAACAACTAACACGACCCTCGGAGCAAGGCAAAAAGAGAGGAACACAAGCAAACCCAAACACCCCCCAACGCATGTTTATAGCAGTGTTAAGCACAGCAATTGCAGTCTGTTTATTACATACGTGGCCAAGTTAACGCCACTGCCTGGTTCTTGAAGAGTTCAGCAGACACCCAGACAGGCTAGCTGAAAATGTTGCTAACCCGAGCGGCTAAACTGCTGTGTGGAACATGTGGAACCAGGGCCCCAAAGATTGTTCTTTTTTTTTTTTTAACTGAGAACAACATTTGTATAACCTGAAGTGTGCTTTTATTTTTATATCTTTTTTTTTTTAAAACTTGCCTGTTAACACGTCTGACAACATGACAGTGATATGCGGTTTTTATTTCTTAGGTAAGTAAGAGAAAGTTTTCATCTCGTCGTCACAAAGTCAAGAGAGCAGCAGAAAACTCCGGTGGACTCAGAGCTCAGGGAGAAACAAACTCGCTCCGGTAGGATACTAGTGCGTTTCTTGGGTTGTATTGTGGGGCAATTTTCACTGGAAGTTGGTACTACTACGCCTGCCACCGCCTGGAATATCGGGGTGCCCTCTGCTAGTGTATCCCCGGGTTTCGCTAACGATTTGCGGGAGGGATGCCCAGCGAAGCCGTGCCGACACCGGACTGCACCGTGGTCATGCTTTAACCCACTCCCCCACCTCTCCAACGAGGAGGGTGTCTCTCCAGAAGGCCACTTACCTTCATCCAGAAGCCTCTCTAGGTGTGTGAAGATGCCGCAGAGATTTGGCAAACTGGTCATGAGCTTCTTCTCGTTCAATAATTGCATTAAATAGTCGGGACTCGGCCTCGGTCGCTCCTTCACTTCGACCTCTCCGACCATCATCTTTGCGGCGAGAGCGGAGAACAAACCACCGCGAAGCACAGAATCCTCTTTTAAGGAAAAGAGAAAAAAACGAAAAAAGAAAAAAAAACTTGCGGCTCCTCGCTTCCCTCCTCCTGATAATCAGAAGACTCTGTGAGACCCCCCTAAAATCAGGTTTGGTTTGTTCTTGTTGTTTGAGTGGAGAGGGGGGACAAAAAAAAGAAACCGTTATCTCCCTTCCACAGACTCGTGCGCTGTACTCTCCTCTACGCCGTGTGCGCTCGGGGACGTTCGATTCCACCACTGTAGGCGCGAGAGCCTGTTCCACCGGAAAGGGTCCGCCCTCCTTAACGCTCATTGGACATCTTGCTTTACAGAGTAACCAATCATTCCTCAGATCCGAGCTACAGGGGCGGAGTCGAGTCGTTAGCGGAATGACGGACGGGTATTGTAGCCAATGAGACGCAGTGCGCAGGAATGCACATAATGCCTCTAATATGTTGTCAACAGAATAGAACACATTTACCTCCTCCTTCCCCCCAAACTAACAGCAACATTTTCCAGATTTAATCTTAGTCTCTCAGTCTTTGTTCCTTAATAGCCTACACTGCCATAAGTGAGTTCATAACTGTCATACCACACCATTCATGTGTGTCAAAGGTTCATGCAGTGGAATGGCTTCATTTTAAGCCCAAAGAACAAACATCAGACACAGCAATAATTTCACCTAAGATATTGTTTACAATCAAATTTTTGTGTATGCATGGATATGTAGTATCCTGATGGAAATAAGAATACAGGTGCCTATACAGCCTATAGTGGCTGAGGCTTGGAGGGAAGCTATCAGAAGCCTGGAGACCATTATAATTCCTACAAAGGGATATCAATAACATATTTTTTCATCTTCCAAATAAGATATGTCATTATTAGGAGACCCATACAACCTCCAGTAAAGAAATGCTTTCATAATTAAATTTTTACCCCCTAGCAACATAAGTTGTAAGCATAGAACAACAGAATGACTGTCTCCAGAGTCTTTAGATGTGGAGCACTTTAAGCCATTAAGTCGCTCAGCTGTTCTCATCGCTGTGATTGCATTAACTTTTTCATCGGAGAAAGAACAAAGAAATCCTTTATATTGCACAAGGACATACATGTTGTGTCAAAACTTCAGCCCCGCTTGTCATTCAGACTGTATGAGGCCTGGTGTGATTCCAGGTCTCGGTAATGACGTGTATGGGTCTCCTAATCTATGGAGTAGTCAGCTGATTTGAAAAGTCATACGTGGGTTGAGTGCTTCATGCACAGGGTTTGTGTGCAGCAGAGGCAGTACACTTGCCAAAACCAACCTACGAATCAGGATGATTGTGGATTTCATGTGTGGGCTCCACTCTGGGATGCTAAAATATGAAATAAAGATCAAACTTGCAGTCCATATCCTACAACATGCCTATTGTTACTCAAGACTTGTACATCTTGTTATCCGTCTGGGACTGATTGATCAATGCTCTGGTAATCAATAGAGACTTTTTATTGTCCTGTCCTTGGGAGAACCTTTCAACATGTCCTTTGAAGATTAAAATACTTGATCGATGAAATGCACGCATGCAACCAGCTACCTCAACTTAGATCTGACTTTGTGTGAAAATAAACCACAACTGGTGCAATTTTAACAGCTGTTGGTTAAGAGGCACCCAACTATGTCTGAGCCATGACCTTGGCAGCCATTCGATTTGTTCGCTTGTTGCTCACCCACTTGTGTTTTTGTATAACAAAAAAAAGGAAGAAAGTCCCTACAGTGGGTGCTTAAACAGCTGCATCATAACCTCCTGGCTTTACTTTGTCGCCACTGTGTTGCAATGAAATACAAACAATCTGGTCCAAGGTTTTAGAGTCAGTGCAGCATGTCCAATAAACTGATCAAACAACACTAACTATACGTGGTGATGTGCTTGGACTAACATTGTCCCGCAGTATTATTAGCTCGAAAAACATATGCCACTCATAACATACCAATCAGCCAAATCATTAAAGCCACTGAGATGTGAAGCAGATAGCATTGATCTTCTCACTGTAGTGCAACGTTCTCTTGGGAAACCTTGGTTGCAATCTTCGATCTTTCTTTGATAGATCCACCCACCGGTGCACCCACCGGTCCCACTGCAATTCCATCTGCTAACGGTGGGCTCCCTTAGCAGGACAGTGTGCATACACATTCAAATCCAATTCAGGATCCACAGAGGCTCAACTGTAAAACTCATAGGTTCCACAGAATCTGCCTGTCTGCCAGTGTCAGGACCCCAAAGGACTGGTGTCCATGCCCCAATGTGTTTTTCAATTTTATTTCTAATAGCGCCAAATCACAACAACAGTTCCCTTAAGGCCCTTTACATTTCAGGTTACAGACCTAGCAACAATCCAGAGAAACTCCCAGAAATAAGATAACACTCCATGAGCGAGCACTTGGCGACAGTGGGAAGGAAAAACTGCCTTTTAACAGGAAGACACCTCTGGTAGAACCAGGCTCAGGGAGGGGCAGCCATCTACTGCGACCTGTTGAGCGTGAGGGGAAGGACACAAGACAAAAGACACACCGTGGACAAGACTCAGAGATTAATAATACCTAATAATTAAATGCAGAGAGGTAAATAAAACACAGAGAGCGAAAAAGAATCAATCAGTGCTTCATGTGAAGTTCCCAGCAGCCTAGGCCTATTGCAGTGTAACTAAGGGAGGGTTCACCGTCACCTGATCCAGCCTAACTATACGTTTCATCAAAAAGGAACGTTTTAAATTTCTTCGCCTGTTCTGGTGTAACAAAGAGGGAACCTATACAATATGAGGCCGTTGAGCATGACATCAGGGCTACATCCAAAATGCCTGCTCAAAACCAAAAGAAATAAAAAAACACACGTGCAACCGGCCGTTCAGCCCTAGATGAGGGCAGTTAGGAGAAGAGCATGCCACAGAAGGCTTCCTGTCAAAGCAGGAGGACAGATATGGTTGCCTTAACAACCGGTGCAACACATTCTTGGATATAGCTACATACATTACTGCTATAATTATTGAGCTTCAGGTCAGACAAACTGAGCTCAGAAGAGACAAAATCCTGCTTCAGATTGTTTTTGAACTACCTATTATACATCAAAAGGACTTTACGATCTAAAACTCTATACTTGAAGTGTCTGGAATTAACTATTTGATCATAATTTCAACCAGTGACCAGGGAAACTCAGATAGTAACGCTTTTGCATAAAGGCTCATCACTTACACTGCCACCAATTACACTGGATATGTAATATTAGTCCCATCGTCCAAATGGTCTGCATTATCACAGGGCTATCTTAAACCCCAGATGATAAAACATCCCTTGAAGTCAAACGCTGATAAGTGATTTCAGCGGATAAGACTAAGCAGATAGGCAGAGGAACGAGAAACCCAATTTTCATGTGACTTGGAGATAGCTAAATTGTCCACGGTGTTGACTTTATGTTTCTCTTTTCCTCCCCTCCTGCCTTATTCTTTGAATATAAGCGATGGAAAAAGTCATAGTCTTCTAGCATCAAAAAGAATCTGGCATTTATTCTGAGCTTTGAAAATGGGCTTAGTTCTTATCACCAACGGTGTGCATGGTAATTTGCACCTTGCCTAGCGCTCATTCTTCTGAGATGGGTCACATACGCCCTGTGTGTGTGTGTAAGTTTATACGTGTGTGAAACAGCAACAGAGAGTTAGAAGAACTGAGCGAGACGCAGCAATAGCATACGTAAGTGTGTGTGTGTGTGTGCCCATGCATGCTTGTGTCTTCTGACAGCCCGAGAGTAAACAGAAACGATATTAATCCCCCCCTTTTGCTCCCCCTGCCCTTGTGTTTTCGTCATTTTTAATAACACGGTTTCTATTCAACAATTAATCCAATTAACAAGGATCCAGATAATTAATGAACATGCGTTTAGGCCCTTTTGAAGAGAGGCTGTTAGCTCACTCACAATGAGCTCTGAGAGCGCCTTGGGTTCTCGAATGAAAGTATGCTGCTGGAAACAATCGGGCCCTCGGTAGGGCCCCTGCAGCTTTTCACGGCATGCCTCGGGGTCCACAGCCGCGGGAACGCGAGTCAGAGCTGGTGACTCTGTCGAGGCAAGGCTGTCTGCGATAAAGACTGCAGCTCTGGAGGAGGCGAACAGAGAGAGACCCACGGGCTCTGATAACACGCATACATACAAACAAGTACAACATCTCTCTCTTTTTCTACCGACTTGCTAGTTTGGGGACTGTGGGGAGAAACTGTCGGCAGAATCTGGGTCATTTACATTTTGAGGAAGGTGTGAGCACAACGAGAAAGAAATAAATGTCCTTCTAGCAACCACAGCACATACAGAGAAACGCATAATGCCCCTATTATTCATTTTAACTTGTATCATAGGCGTGACATGACAAATGCACTATTCTTCCTTGTGCATTGTTTCCCTCACACTTGTTTGTGCTTGGTGGTACTAAACAGTGTCCATGCAGTATTTTTTATGTCTTCAAATAATCACCTGATGTAAGCATTGGATATACAATGGACAAAGAGTAAGCGAGTGTAAGTGAAGCAAAGGTGGGGCATGTTCAGATGACAGGCTAATAATGAACTTCCCCTCTAGGTATACTTTAGTGGTCTGTAAAGATTTGCAAAGGTCAATCAATTTACAACCTCTAAACTGCTTTGTAGGCATTTATTTTAAATGTCAGTATTGCCACATATGTTGATATTTAACTGTATCTGTGTTTACCTCTCAGTAGCTCCTATTGCCTACTGTTAGGAGAAGCTCCAAACATTTCTGGACAGAGTAATTAAAAACTGCACTTTAGCAGTAAAAGTAGTTCTTAACTTCGAGAAGCTGAGAGGTAATTTGCCTTTTTCTGGACAATTCTTCCAAAAATACAGCCGTAATTTATTATGAAAAAATATTTCGATGGTGGAGAGTTACATTAATGATTAAATTGGGGCAGCATCACTGAAAATACTGGTTTGAACAGCCATTTTGCTACGAAAATGTGTTTCCAGTGCTGCTAAACATCTCTGCCATCTGTCAGAATTCTTAATGCTCATCAGACTCAATTTTTCCTGACAGTATAATAAGTGAACAGCAGCACCGGTTGCATTAAAACTGTTTTGTTAATTTACATCATCTTTTTAGTTTCGTGTAATATTAAAAATTCATTCACTGAAGCACACAGCATACACTGTAGTTAAAAAACAAGAAGCCCTCTTAGCTCTGAAAAAGTGAAGCCATTGTGAAAGTAATGA